TAGTTAATTATCTAATGTACTGATAAAAGCATTGATGAGTGTATTTTCCATGGTAGAACCTCAGACTATTGATTGAATAAATTCAGCTCTACGTCCCAGGAAGATTATTTTACTCTCAGGCATTATCAAGACAAAATCAACTGACCTTGGATGTACATCTCAAAGTCAAATATCAATATCTTTATTACCATGAATATGTCACATTGTCAGATCTGGAAGTCCCAGAATATAGGAAACTCATTTGTCTATTTTTTTTTTTAGCCTAATCAAGTTTAAAATAATGAGGTACGAGTGTATGGTAACAATTGAAACATACACTTTTTAAAAATAATTAACAAACCAATGCCGAGTTTGAAAATTTTTGCCTTACTTTTTCTTGAAGCACAGCAACAAGGTGTGAGGGATGGGGCCAGAACACAGCCAAGTTTACTGTTAAAACAAGAGCTCCCAATTCGTGATTCCTGTAAAAAAAAGAATTGTGAAAATTAAAAATTCATGAAATATTTCAATTTCTTAAAAATAAAATAAAAGCTGCATATTTCTCAATGAATCTTTAATAAATATCTACTGTAGATGTATTTTTATCCACCGGGTCATAATTCCGCGGAATCTCAATTTCTGTTTAATCCGCACATAGATTATTACGCGGATTTTCTAGACTGTCACTATATGCCTTACATTTATATTAAGAATGCTTGGACAAATTTCCGCGGAAAATTTGTGACCGCTTACATAGCGTAAATTAATACCACGCAGAAAAATGTACTTCTACAGTATTTGTATTTTTTTTTATCAATTACACTCTGTAAAATTACTGCAACACATTACTCATTCTTAGACTGTTTTATTCTGCTTTCAGATTCTGCTTTCAGAATGAAACAACAGAGCTGCCAACATTCTGAAATGACAAACAGTAAGGCGGGGTCCGGCGACCGCTTAGGCCCCAAGCCGCTGAAGATACTTTTGTAAATGGACATGTAATCAGAGCAATTTGAGGCATGTTTCTATTTTGTTTACTTTGAAACATTGACATTAATACGATCGGCCTTCTAAAACCGAGACAACAAGATAACAAAAGAAGCAAGCGATGTATGGATTATGAATATTTAATTATAATAGTAGAAATTGTAGACGACCAGCTATGAAATTTCCGGTATTATAAACTTTGATTGAGAAAAACCAAAAATCGGAAGAATATAGAAAGAAATCATAAGGCGTATTTTAGGTGCTAATTTCGTAAGATTAAGCCAAAATCGTAAGGGTTGGCAGCTCTGAAACAACCAATATCTTACATAAAAGAAACAAAACATTACTTGAAGGTAAAATCTGAGAGTACAAACCAAATATGAAGAAGACCCTCTTTAGTATACCCAGCTACTGCTTGTTGCTGCCCTTGGATGCCACACACAGTGTCCAGGACACCAGATGTTTCCTCCAGATTTATGGTTCTTGACAAAGTCTTTACCTCCAAGTCCATGATGTATTTTGATAATTTTATTGTGTTGGGAGAGTCAGATTGAGAAATAACAACCTCATTAAATTTCACAGCACATATTTGAATCCTGAAAAAGAAAACAGTCTGCTTTCAGTGGAATTACTAATTTGCACGGATGTTGAATTATCATTGTTCTTGGGGTATGAAAAGACACCCTAATTCATGTCTGCTATGACACTTAAAAAAATTATATATGCACTACTCACCTACTAAAAGATATTTTTGATATACCTTAGGTATAAAATGTGAAATAAATGATAATTAGAATTTAAAAGGATTGAAAATAAAAGATAGTCTGATAGAGTTAAACATACTGATGAGAGGGAGTTGAAATGTCGGTAATTTCAAACAAAGGGAAGGCTTGGTCCTCCTGGAAAACTGCACAATGTAACTGGGTCGAATTAGAGCTTCCTAAAACGGCTGCGAATCGGATTTCTGATGACTTTGGAAGCATGAGGTCTCCTGCTAATGCTGTTTGATCCTACAATTACAATAAATTTAACTTACTAGTGTTTTTAGATTAGAACTACTCTAGAAGAAACGCTTCATTTGGTCATAATGAATTGAATGAAAACAGCAAAACATTTTTTTTTAATATACAGTAATCATTTTCAAGAATTTTTTTGCAGCACAATCAACTGTAGACTTGAGAAACTGATACTGAATTTCTCTGAAATCAGTAATAAAATAAATTTGACTTGCAATTACCTCAGGGAAACTCCACTTTTGCAGACAGGTAAACTGTTCACACTGTAAAGCCCAGACAGATATAGATTTCTTACACAGACAAACTATCACCTCTGTCTTCTTCTTGTTTAAAGGGAAAACTGCAATATGACTTTGTATCACTGTGTCATCTATGGAAAACTGAAAAGAAAATGCATCTATTCAATACAATAAAAAAGATTATGTTTACACCCCTTACATTACACCAATACCTGGTGATTTATATAATAATCAGATGAAGGTAAAGAAAAAATAAATAAGTGTAAAATTACTCTTTATTTTGATACCTGTATAGCCATCTTTTCTCTCAGGATGTCTCCAAAGTTTTCATCATCACTCTCAGTTTGTATATCAGAACCAAGACTGCTATTCAGGTCATTTTCTGTCTGGCCATTTTCTTTACCATCTTGTGACACTGCAATATTTTTTGTTTCCTGGGGTTCTGAACAAATTGGTTCATCATAAGTCTTTGAGGTTTCTTCACTTTTATTTTTTTCTGATTTGTTTAGCTCAACTTCAGCATGTATTTCTAAATTTGAATAAGACTCATCGGTAGCAGTTTCCTTTTCAGAATCCTTGAGGACTACCTCTGTAATATCATTCAAGTTTGAATGATGTTCCTCTCTGCTTTTTGGAGAAGATTTTGATTCCTCAAAATGATCACCTAAAGATGCTTTTTCACTAAGAACTTTAACATCTTGTTGCTCTGTCCTTTGTGACAAAGTGTCTTCTTTACCTTGATCTTCACCATTTTCAATTAAAGTTTGCTTGAAATCTACAAGAACAGAAGATGCTGTTTGTTCTGTATCATGCAGCATTTCTTCTTTTATGGAAATTTCTTTGTCCTGGTCTACCTTTTTAATCATTTTACCTTCCTGATCATCAACAGAGGAAAAAACTGCTCCATCACTTAATCTATCTAAAACTTTTGCTTCCATAAGATCTCCAAATGTGTGTGTTGGCAATACAAAATCCTTATCCTTTTGCTCTCTCTTGGCATCATCAATAATGAACTGGAAAACAGACGACAGAAGAATGGGTTGACAGGACCGAGAACGTCTAGTCTTCCTCTTCTCTATAGGACTACACAATCCTAAACTCTCCTGGACCAACATTAGAGTTTCTAATTCCTGGCTCTCCTGGGATTCAGAGGAATTCCTGATACTGACAGGAAGTAGCGACTTCTTGGTCTGAGCAGGGAGTGAAGCTCTTCGACCTTTAGCAGGTCTTCCTCGTTTTCTTTTAGTTTTGATTTTTTCACAGCCGTCAAAGGATGAGGGAAATAGATCCATAGATGATTCACTCTCAGATGGTTTGAGCTTTTCTGCTGACTTCATGCCATTGGAAAGCTTGTTTATTTCCAAACTGTCCTTCTGCTTTTCCCTGGTATCAGTATCTTTATTTTTAACCATGTCTTCATCATCATCATCATCAGGAATATTAATACATTTGATGATTCCTTCTGATGGAAGTGTCCCTTCCACTTGTAGCTTACTTTTGTTGCTAGAAAATGTGTTTGGACTCAAAGTTTTTCTTCGCCTTGCTTTAAGAGACAAAGTTTTCTTTCCATTTCCTGATGATTCTGAAGATGAAGGAAGATTTCGTGAGGAAGCACTTTGTTCTGAGTCTCCACAGGGTCCAACAATTACATCATCTTCCCCACTTCTTTTTGAGGTCTTGCTATCACATGTAATAAAATCACCTTTGTCTGAATTTTCTGATAAAACTGATGTTTTGATGGATAATTTTTCATCACTAGCAATGCTCTTTGTTGATTTATCTGTTTTTGGGGGTGATTCTATGTCTGTTTTCGAGCTAGTTACGCTCTTTGAGGTACTGTCCTGATCATTTGGGGTAGCAATTCTTTCTGGCTCCTTCATTTGATTTTTGAAATCTTCCTGGTCCGTCTCTTTGCTACGTAGAATCTCTTGTTTTTGTAGTATCTGTTTAACATGTGCCTTGGCTTTAGACTTTCGAACAGATTTCTGAAATGTTATTTTTTCAAGTATATAAATGTTCCCATATGCACGATCTTGATTATTTTGAGTTCATAATCGAAGTTCAACTGTACAATCAACAAACTGTTAATGGGAAAAGGTCATTGAAAGCTAAATTTGCAACATATAATTATGCATATAACTTTTAACAGGGTAGATCATAATTGAGGAATTTATATATTCAACTCACTTCCAGTTTCTTTTGTTTTCTGGCATATTCTTTCTTCATCTGTGCTAGCCTTTTAAGCATCTAAATATAAAGAAAAAAAATTCTGATGAAATATTAAAAGATAATATTACTCTATATCATAAATGAACATAATAAAAGAACATCAATCAAGATAAGACAGCACCAGGCAGAATCTACATGTAGCTTAAATTAGTAGAATTTACTTGCATAAAATGACTTGCACGAACTCATAAGAACAAGATAAAAATATCTTTTTCAATCAAATACAATGTCTAAAAGAGTCAAAGACCTATATTCTCATACCTAACTCATCTGTCAGACAACATTGAAACATAAATGAATAAAATGCCCATAATTTTCAATAAGAACTTGGAATTGTCATCAATATTTTTATTTTCTACATCTTACAGTCTTGTATTCAAATAGAAATATATATAATTTGATCAATTTACGTTTTCTTGATCCTCTTCCATGGCTGTTATTGAGAGAATTTTCTTCGCACCTCTGATTTTGATCAAAGTGAAAGTAGTCAAAAAGCCCGCCAACTTCCTTTCACTTTGAGCACAGGCGCACTGAGACTTCCGGTCTGCGCAAAATATTGATGTGATCTATGTTTACATGTTATTAACGTAATTTTCACCACATATGTGATAAATTTGCAGTATGTAGTTCCAGAAGATACATATATTTGCAGACTTTTACAATGTAGACTTGGAATTTCTTTTCGTTAGCCGAAAAAGTTGTAGAACTAGAAAACAATGTTGTGATAATGTGCTCTTTGCAAAACGGGATCGGATCACTGAAGCCTTATGACTACTTGCTTAAGTTTCTGCTAGTAGGGGACAGTGATGTTGGAAAAGAAGAGCTGCTTAGTGGAATGGAGGATGGGGCCACAGAGTCCCCATACCCCAGTACTGACGGTAATACGGGGTTTGGTTTGAAGTAATCATGTTAGGCCAAAATAAAATATACTCTTGTTTCCTGTCCCCTGACCAAAAAAATTAGGGTCGGTAGGTATTTTATTTTGATTTTATTTTCAAAATTTAATGAATGCAGAACATATAGCATGTAATAACTGTAATAACAAGAAAATGATATGTTAACAGTTTCAAAGCAAGTTTGTTAATCAAGATTTATAAAGTAAAGGTAACCTGTACACTTGTGATGTATTAATTCTGTAAATATCATTGGTCAACTTCAGTATTTTAGAAAAATAGTTATCCAAAAAATGAAAATGTAATAAAAACTTTTAGGGTCGGAGGGTTAAATGTAGGGTAGGTCGGGTGACAGGAAACAGGAGTATTTTTTATTTTGGCCTTAACACAACCATGCATGCTGTCTGTCTGCATCAGCCGTGCATCCTTTCAACATAAACTTGATTGATCATGTAATCCGCTCCTAGATGCTGTATACATGAACACAGACCCTAGATTCATGTCCTGTTATTATTTATACTGAAGTTTATAGTGCTAAAGGTTATTGCACAGCATCTAGAATATTCTTGTCTCATTTATCCATTAATCGCATGTAACAAAGACACTGGTTGTACATTGGGAATACTATGTAACAGGAAAGAGAAAAATGTATTGCTGGATTAGGAAATTTACCTGGAACCTTAATTTTAAATCATTAGTCAGGATATCTAGTGACTGAGTTACTAGGGCAGGCCAATATTTAATCCTCAATCCAAACTAATATATAATATCCCTCCCTCTTGAAATTGTCTTTGCTGTTAAAGACATCCTATAATATTTGTTTTCGCCATGGCAGGACTTTCACCTGCAAGGCCATGGGTAATCAATCATGCAACCAAAGGAGAAAATGTTTGGTTGGACCAGGAATCGAACCCGAGACCCCTATATCACAAGTGCAGGTGCTCTACTTGCTGTTCTACCCAGGCCAGTATCCACAGCCCTAACCTTACAACTTAAGATAACAAAACCATTGCAAGAATTAAATCTGGTTTCAATATTTTGACTGATTCCTATTTTGAAAATTCTTAATGTCTTGTCCATGTTAAGTTTAATAGTTTATCGTTACACATCTCCAAAGATGATGGAAGACATTACTCTCTAATATATACCGAGGATGTACCCCAAAGCAACACCGAAGGGGTAAATTAAATCATATTCTGTGATCACTGATTGTTTCTATAAGCAATAAATCCAAATTTTTCCCACACTAGAGATATTTTGTATATTTTTGTTTCATTACATATGTATTACCCATGGGTAGAAAGAACATTTCTTTAAGTCAGCTATAGATGATTATCAAATGTGTCTGTCCAGTGGTGTCTGTCTGCTAAAACTCTGACTCCTGGTTCACACAGAAGGAGCATATGAATAGTTGGGTATTCAGTAATCTGTATGCCAGTGTATGACTGTTAAGTTAAGGTTTCTCGAATAAGTGTGAAATACATAATGTGTCAGAGAGGAACAATTTTAATTCTTTTTAAACATAATCGTTATATCCATTAAGAAATATATCCATTAGGGGATATAAAATCAATTCACTGCAGGGGTAGAAACTCCCTAAAATTACAACTCGCAAATAATTGCGAGTTCCAAAAATATGAACTCGCAATTTCAAAAGACAACTCGCAATTTTAAAATGAAAGCTTTCTAGAAATAAATCACCATCCATCCATTAAAAAAAATCAATTTTCCAACATGAGGTTTAACAAAAATTATGTTTGTTTCCTGTAACATTCCCCCAAAAATCATTGTTCAGAAGGACAAGATTTTTTTCCTTATGACTAATAGAGCCAAACATCCCCGGACTGAATAAACCAGGTGTTATATTTACAGTGGACACCTAACATGACAACCAACATGACTGCCTATCCGCAAAAAAACAAACTTCAAAAGTTGGGGGGGGGGGGGGGGAATTATTGTTACAATAATACATTAAGCTTATTCTTTATATTTAAGGTAAATGTTAACTAGGTTGACATATTTTATATCTCAAGTTAAGCTACAATTAATATTCTTTTTTTTTTTAAATAAATGGATTCCGAATCAGCTGATTGATCAAACCACGCAGATTGGGAGAAAAATAATCTACCTGGAGGTAATTTGAATAGATCGGTCTTTTTTTAGGCCTGGTTGTTGGATATGGGTTTAAAAATGGGGGATGTCAGAAAAATTTTTCCCTTGGTGAAATTTACAGTGAAAAAAATCAACTCGCAAAAATTTGCGAGTTACAATTTTTTTAACTCGCAATTTGGAAATTCTAACTCGCATTTTGCGAGTTGTATATAGTGAATTTCGAACCCTGCACTGTAAGCATCAGTTAGTTAGAAGCATGTTTTACTGTACTGGAAAGAGGCCCTGAAACACCATTGATATATCCAGGTATCTTTCCTATGAACTTACCTTGCCAATTATTACATAAGTTGTTATTATTATTTATGTATTTTAATACTTCATTATGATAAACTTGGATTTTACTCATGTTCATGAATATATTTATTTGTGATTTTTTATGTGTTGATAAAAGGTGATCATAAATTTAGCACAATATCTTTGAAAATCAAGTGTTTCACAAAATCAAACTTAAAATGCAGATTTAAGTAAAAAAAACTAATTTCAGGTCTCATCTTCTCAAAAACAATATGCATGATATAGAAAAGAATTTAATTTTTTGCATAGATGTATGTGTACATCAGATTTTTTTTTTTACATCCGAATGATGTGTTGATTCAACATTGAAAAAATCATAGCAGCCTTTGCACTAGTTTAGATTCTAATCCATAGCATGAAGTCAATTTTCTTTTTTTTTTTTTTAATCATAGAAGGCATTTTTTTTTTTTTAAATCTGTATAATTATTAAGAACAGCAAGGCCATAGTGACTGATGTGAGATTTTTGGCCCATGGGCCTCTTGAAGTTTACATTTCCATGTAAGTTATTTTATCAAATAAAACTATATATTGTGAAATCACTAATTTTCATGGGGGTTTAATTTTCGTTGTTTTTGAGGCAAGGAGAGACCCACGAATTTATGACCACCATGAAATGTAAAATTTAATATGCATAACAAACTGTACTTCTAAAACATTATCCATCCATGAAATCAAATTATCTAATCCCCCAAAACCAAGATTTTTCCTCAAACATCGAAAATTTGATCCCGCAAAAATATATGATTTCACAGTAACATGTATCATGATGATGATTTACTTGTTGAGTGTGTGAATTTGATTTAGCTTTCTCTTTTCTTTGAAGGCATTGACTACAAAACAACCACCATTTTGCTAGATGGGAAAAGGGTGAAACTACAATTGTGGTATGAATACTTCTTTTAAAGTAATATTTGTGAAATAATTAAGTAACAATCACCTGTAATTTATTGTATTTCATTTTGACTAGTTGTTTCATTCTGAATGTAGAAGAGTTTTGCATATAAGTTATTTCAAAACTAATTAATTTGCTTGTAATTTCTTTAAACATTCTGCAGGAACTTGTAGAAAACACTTATTTAATGAGGATAAGTTTAAACTGTATAAGATGTATGTATTTCAGGGATACATCGGGACAGGGGCGATTTTGTACTATATTTAGATCCTATTCAAGGGGAGCTCAGGTAACTTTATATTAATTAATACATGTACATTGTAATTTGCACTAACCATGCAGTGTACATGTACATGAAGTTTGCCTATTTTTAAATATTAAATTAAATACACAGGTCAACATAGTACATAATCATATCATGATAAAAAAAAACAACTGTGCTGTTCAAAGTACACCTTATAGGAAATAATTGTTGCTGTATGAACAAGTGTTGATTAAAAATTATATAATATGTACATGTATTAATATTAATCATAGCTTACTTATTACCTTGAGAGATTTTTAAATGATGTTTAATTTATCTTTTATCAGGGCATTCTTCTAGTTTATGACATTACAAATAAATGGTCCTTTGATGGAATAGCCAGATGGATCAAAGAAATTGATGAGGTAATAATGATAACTAGCAAGAGACTAATTGTTGTTTGAAAGTATATGCATCAACATTCTTGATAAGGGTGTAAAAATAGTCTGCAAGTTAATTCTTTTCCCCATACTGAATTGTATATAATTACAGAATGCATTACAATTTCAAATACATGTAAATATTTACCTTTTTAATATGTCTTAGTTTTTTTTTTTCCTTGTTATTTAAGTTATACCACGAAAAATCTATACGGTTTATAGGCATAGAGACAAGAATTCTATCCCTATTAATGTAATATACCAACATATTATAAATATAACTTCCTTAATTTTATGCATGTAGCATGCACCAGGTGTTCCCAAAATCTTGGTGGGAAATCGTCTTCATATGGCGTACAAGCGACAAGTCAGTGAGCAGATGGCTGAGTCCTATGCACTGAAGAACGACATGGCCTTCTTTGAAGTCAGTCCACTGTGTGACTTCAACGTGACGGAATCGTTCGCAGAATTATCCAGAGTGGCATTAAAACGCAATGGAATGAGAAGGACATGGGGCACTGATAAAGGTAAAATTAATATTAGAGAAAGATTAAATTAAAAATTTGCCTGTTTTGTAGACTTTTCCAAAGCCTTTGACACTGTTAGGAGATCAGCACTTTTATATAAGATTAATGAAAAAGGCATTGGTGGTAATTTTTTGAAACTCCTATACAATATGTATACAAATACCTATTACTCCTGTAAGAAAGACAATCAAATGAGTGAAGAATTTTTAGCAAATAGAGGAGTGAAACAAGGTGATAATCTGAGTCCAACACTTTTTAATATTTTTATTGATGATTTTGTAAAATATTTCAATACTACAGCCACAGATCCAACATATTTAGAATTAATGCCTATCAACCACATGTTTTTTGCTGATGATCTTATTCTTGTATCTGAGACACCTAGTGGTTTACAGAAATGTATAGATATTTTAGGTAAATATTGTCATGATTGGAAATTGTGTGTGAACATGGAAAAAACAAATGTTATGATTTTTTCTCAAAGTACAAATTGTGAAAATGAGTATTGGTTTTACTATCATCATAGCCGTATAGAAATAACAAATCAGTATAAATATTTGGGACTAGTGTTTAAATCTGATGGAAAAATGAAATTCTCAGCAGAACAACTGTCAGAAAGAGCTAGAAAAGCTTATTATGCTATAAAGACCAATTTTCCAGCTAATACAAATTTTCCTGTAAAGACAATGCTTAAACTTTATAGATCTATGATTACTCCAATCTTAACTTATGGTTCTGAAATCTGGATAGCAGACTACAAATGTGATTTATTATCCTCAGATCACTTTCCATTTGAAAAAATACAACAACAGATTTTTAAAGACATTTTAGGTGTTCATAGAAAATAATCTAATATTGCTGTTCTATATGAGTTGGGACAGTTCCCACTATTTTATTTGTGTTATGAAAATATGTATAAATTTTATTTAAGACTGAAAATCTTAGAGAGAGAAAATGATTATAATGACCAGTTAGTGGTGTCTGCATTTAAGGAAGATAAAACACTGGGATCTAGAATATCTTGGCAAAGAAAGCTTTATACTCTACAACAGAAATTGTTATTACCCTCATTGGACATATCACATAAAACTTTAAAATATAAATTAGAAGAACATTATAGAAACAAGATCAGTGAACAATTAAAGAACATTTCTAAATCAAATTCTGGGAAATTAACTTTTTATAGTAATATAATTGATTTAAATGAATATAAATTACAGAACTATCTAGAATTACCATTGAAGAAATCTGAAAGAACAATCCTAACAAAACTAAGAATTAGTGCTCATACCCTACATATCGAAATGGGGAGATACTCAAGACCACCTATTCCTAGAGAAAAACGTGTATGTCAGTTTTGTAAATTTTTTATTGAAAATGAAAACCATTTTGTACTTTATTGTCCTAGTTATGATCAATGTAGATTACAATATTACGATATATTCAATGCACAATGTTACATGAAGGAAAACCCTATTATTGACATTATCAATCCTACAAGTATTAGAACTGCTAGGAGAGTTTGTAACTTTTTGAAAAAGTGCTTTGATATTAGGAAAGAAAACCTTCAACAAACCTGATATGCTTTCTTTGATATTTTATTTTATGTATGTTAATTGTTGTATTCATGACTATATGCCAATGTATGATGGTGTTGTCAATAAATGAATTGAATTGAATTGAAAAATGGAAAAAGAGAGGCAAAATGACTAATCTGGTCTTGAAAGGTTTAAAACCTGTAGTGAAGATTATCTGTACATACATGTATATGCTACTATAGAAATTGGATTGATAAAAGAAAATTACAGATGAAGATTTGTGAACATTTTAAGTAGCTAAAACTACAATAATTTCAGCCTTTGTTTTGAGAGCAATTTATTGTTTTTCTTACATTTCATTGTTTGCATATTTTAATTTTAATTTCTCTCAACAAATAAGTGACCACAATCAAAAAATATATGTATTTTATTCAAAGCTATTTGTCCAATTAAAATGAAGATTTTATCAAGAACCACTTTCCCAGTAAATTGTAAGATTTTGAAAACCACCAAAACTGGTCCAACAAATTAGACTTAGTTCAAGAATATGAATACTAATGTGTTATTTGTTATTGGGTACAGGATGTTAATACTTATGCTCAATAATTGATGCTGTACATATTTCCATTTATCAGGTACAATTCATTGTATCATGTTAATGCTGTAAGGTGACCACCATATTTTGACAATCAGACATAGTTCGTATTTTTCCATATTTTGTGTGTAATCTTTGTCTTTTTATTTTTTTCAGTCCTGACACTGAAGGAGATAGCCTGCAGGTGTATAGTGGCCAACACTACAATATACGGAATAGACCGGCTTCCTTTACCTCACTCATTGACTTCTCACCTCAAATCTTATGCATTGACAAATAAAACCCGAGTTCGAATGCAGAGTTTTGTTCACCGAAAAATCAAATATCTCAACCCCACGGATACCCCACCCGCGCACTGTCGACAGAGTTGTATCATCAGCTAGCGATGGTGGAATGGCTGCAGGCCGCTGCACACTTCTTCCACGTTGATCTGCATTGGTTTTCAGAGCATCTATTGAATAACTCGACACAGAAGCTTACGATTTTTGTTGTATTTTTGGATTCTGATTTTCAGTGGCATTAATGGATAGTTTATGTTTGCTTCATAATATGAAACATGCATATTAATTTTTTCTCGTATTTTTCTCACTTTCACATGTAGTCATTATTTAAAGGTTATTTAAGGGTGTTTAACATTCCAAGACCTGTGATAAATATCTTTAGGCTCCTGAAACAAAACTTTTTTCTCCTTTGTTTGCAATGTGTTGTGGTGTCAAATATACATGTATGCTGCTTTGTAAACTATTATATATACTAGATTGCTTTAAATGTTAGGATTTTTTTTTTCCTCAATTTAAGTATGAAAAAAGAATTGTTTGTTTGTTTAGAAAGCTTGAAACTTTCATGTGTTAAAATGAATGAGAATATGCCTTGTGTAAAGTGCTAGTCAATGCCAGTGTCACAGTTTGGTGTGTGTTTGTGAGGACTGTGATTTGTGTTCTAGAATTTTTGTCCATTGTAAAGTATTATTGTAGTGATCTCCAGATTTCCTTTTCATGATTTTGTTGAGTTCATGCTAGTAGACTGTACACTTTGGAAACCACAAAGTCAGCTGGAGTGAATCAAGTAGTTTACAATTGTAGGGAAAGAAAAAAAAATGCTTTTGGTGTATCTTCTTTTTGTTCAGTACCTCTATCTTGTATGATATGTATAATTCTGTAAGTGTTGTAAAAATATAAAATAATAAAAATAAAAAACTATTGGTTGCTGCCATTTTAAGCAAATATTGGATAGTATAATTTTTTTTTAAATCCCAGGTGTGAAAATTATCTGATTCACTGAACATTGTTGTGTACATTTGTTTTTGTTCTTTGTTTTTCAAGTAAAAATGTAGAAGTTCATGTAGATTCGTAGAAATGTGGTACACTTAGTAAAACAAGGAGGATCTTGCTACCATGCTGGTTGTGTTTTCTCTATTTATTTGAATTAATTTAAATGATGTATTCAGTGTGTAAATACCAGTTTGTTGTGTTGGTGCTAAAACCAGATTTTGTACTTTTTCATTATATATCATGCTAAGAAAACATAAAAAGTAGTGAATTTATGTAACATTTGGTGCAATTTTTCTACTTTTCCTTATTTAAAAAATAACAAAAACTCATTATTCTTGATGATTTTTGTCCAGTTATCACTTGACATAATTGTCTAGTTTTCCTACGTAATAAATTAAACATATACAAGTTTTTGTATCTGACAATATACAGATGGTGATAAAAATAAAATCGTGTAAAATTCAATTATTATTTTCTGTTTATAGTTTTCTGACTCATGTTCGAAGTTAAGAGGTTATATTTCTTTTTGTCAAAAATTCTGACACCAGACTTGTTGAAAATCAATCTTGGCACAATAGTCCCTCCTTAAAAAGAATTGGAAGATTCTCTAATACTTTTGAGGTCATAAAATTACAGGTCAAGGGTCAAACTGTATATACAGTCAAACTTCGTTATCTCGAACCTGATGAGATTGAGAAAAAACTTCGAGATATTCGAGGTCTCGAGATATCAAAGGCTAAATAGTACTTAAAGAACATGTGGTTGGGACTTCCAAATCCTACTGATTGAGAGGTCACAATCAAAGGTCAAGGTCAAATTGATATTGACAGCTCATGCAGCATCTTGACAGATGTTAAACTTTACATAGGTACCCTTCAAGAAGTTAATTACCCCAATGATACTAAGGTCCATTCTATCACACATCATATTATGTATGTCCCTTAATAGTAGATATTAATTTTTTTACCACTTTTGTTACAGGAATTCTAAATTTCAAATTGACCACTCATGGAATATAGCTACAGGGGCGGAATTAAAAATATCTTTGTTTCCCCTAACCCGACTCTAAATTTTCAAGTTGGGTCGGTAGGTAGGTAAACAATTTTATTTTCTGACAGCAGCTTTGAAAATGCATTCTAAAATTTAATGGAAAATTACATTTATAAATAAGAAAAGTACAAAAGAAAGTGATTTGTGAACAAAATGCTATGTATCATTATTACATACCGGTATGCCATTTAAAAGCAAAATTCATGATGAATTAATTCAACTGTAATTTAGATGAACTTGTGAAATATCTCACGCCAGAGACCAGAGTACATTTATATAAATCTGAATTTACAAAAAGACAAGATTCTCAAATACGCAAAGACTGGACATCCGAGTATATTTTTTCAAACCTTCAATCATCCTCCAGTGCTTATAGACAGTCATTGTACTTTTTTGAGGGCCATGAGATTTACAGTGGTTCTAGAGCATTTTGCTTTGGAGTTGAGAAGTAAGTGGCTAATTTTAAGTCGCAGGTTTAAATACCAATGAGGAACGTTGAAAACGGTCCTTCAAAAGGGACCATAAAAACGTTTGTCCAGTGTCGCAGAAGATGCTGGCTCAAAAAGATCCCACTGCTTAATGGCAAAAAAGTGCGTAGTACGTCTAAATTTGGCGCAATGGGGAAATGTTCAAATGTCGTCCTAACAAATCTCAAATGGGTTTAAAAGCAAAGAAATAACTAATCTTCAAGGGCTTAATTAAAGAAAATGACACTGGACGTCTCAGGAAGATTAATTATAATTTCAAAACTATTTGGAAACAGTATTTAAACAATATTTAAATGAACCAAACCGAATCTACAAATGATAAAAATGCTATATAAAACAATGTCATAGTCACGAAGTTTAACCCGTAAATAAAGGCATGAAAAAGTACAACTGAATTATATTTATCATGATGAATATACACACATAGTTATCACAACTCCTATGATTACATAATGGCATATAGTTAACATAGCAGAATTGTTTATTAAATCAAAACTCAAATTAAATAAAATGCAGTGAAATTGAATGATGTGTTCATTAGGTGGGCCCCTCGTCTGCTCATGAGGCTGGCCTTTCCATGTATTACGTACCTGAAATTCAACAGACAGATTTGCTTGTTCGTTGTTTACCGTCCTTTTTGAAAATTTTAATTAGTCATGGTAAATTTTATTATCAAATTGTTTCAAGAGTGAAGAATTCTAGTTAGCTAAAGGCATAAGATTGAGACATCGCCGTTGTTTTACGAAGAACTACTTCTCTGTAATCACATCTGGGCGCTGTTTTGTTTCCATCAAATGCTTGGAAATTACAATAGAACAATGTCGGCCGTTCTGATAAAAACTGATTTTGATGAAATTGTATTTTATAAAACTTGGTTGACAATAAAAAATTTTTTTGAATCATCTTATTTAAAAAATCTTTTCAGTCGGCGCGTTTTAGCTGGGTCGGTCGCGTTAGGGGAAACAAAGGTATTTTTTATTTTGGCCCAGTGGAACCTCATTTATCCAGAGGCTTTGGTCCTTGTCAATTTGTCCGGATATGTGAATTACCAGTTAAACAAGAACAAATAACATTAAAAAATTCTGTTCCGAGGAAAAGTCGTCCAGATACTGAAGCATAGGGATATCTGGCGTCCGGATATCTGTGGGTCCACTGTATATGGAAGAACTTGTTTTACAAAAATTGTTTTAAATATTAAGAATCCTAACATTTCTATAAAAGAAAATCGAAAGGCCTTGCAGAGTTGCACTTCTAGAAACATTTTGGACAACATAAATTGTAAGCTTTCCATGAAATATTGGTTAATTTGCCCTATTTGAATACCCTCTACATTACAAAATGAGCCTTTTGATAAAACTTTGATTGCAGGTCATTCAAAGGACATTACAAAAGAAAATAATGAAGTCTGTAAAAGATAATGGTAAAGTCTCAAAAGCTGTGACCAGTACTCACAACCTTTGCATGACTGAGTTTTGCCCAATGCAAGGATTTTGACCTGCTGATAAGAGCTTTAAATGGCTTTGTGCAGACATGACTGTCTCTCTGCCATAAATTTCATTTCAGTTCTACCTTCATGATGTGCCACAGCACTTAAGCATCTGCCTGGTCACTGATGAGCAACTGTATCATTAATTTTAATGTATACACAAATGATTTCATCATAACTTCTTCACAGTCCTTTAAAACAACAATACTTTTGAAAATAAAAAACAAACTGGAATACATTTGAATTTTTTTAAATATTTTATATTTGCAGTAATATTATTGTCATAAACCTGTTACTCTGTCATAACACTTTCATTGTGAATTACATACAGAAGAAAACACAAAAATCAATGCAACAACACATAGTCAGTTTGTGTTTGAAAAACACTGCACATGTATACGTTCCAACTCATACTATAACAACTCCCCCATTCCACCCCAACCCCCCAAAACCACGATAAAAGCCTTAATTTTCAAATAATTACATTGTCCTTTGATTTATAAAGTAAATTAAACAATTAATACAAGTAAAATATATGAAAAACAGTGTATAGATATAGTCAAAAACAGTGTACTGAAAAAAGTTTTTTAAAGCAGTGTAAAAAAAAAAATTTTCCCGATCATTAAAGAAATTATTCAGAGAACTGTACTATAAACAGATTAATTTTTGATTTTGGTACATCATAAATGTAATCATGTTTCTAAAATTTAATACAGGTATATAACACACAAACATCTTTTATTTTTTAACAAGGAAATACAAATTTATTAATGTTTAATAAAAAAAAAATGTTCGGAATATACAATGATTGTTAAAACGTTTACTAAACCAGATCTTAACAAACACTATCAACATTTTATAAAAGGATATTTTCACATTGAACCAGACAGAAATAATTTTTTGTGCATAGTATACTATGATATACCATATATATTGACTTATTAAGCATTAGTGAACAGTATGAAAAACGCTTTCCTGCTTTAAAGGTTAAATATTCATTCTGTTAAAAAATTCAGCAGCATACATTTCTCTCCATATTTTGCAAATTAACTGATACATATGATACTGTCAAAAACAAAGCATCCATTTAAAATTCAGTCTTCTCAAAACTGGAATGAGAAAAGAAAATCACGAAATTTAACTGAAGTGCATCTCATCCTAAGTGATTGAAAATGACATTGTTTCATGGAATGGCTCTTTAAATAGTGAATTTAATCAATGATCATTTACTGCAAATTTATTGAATTTCCTTCAACACTCCCAAATATATTTACTTGAATGAAATCAGAAAGACAAATATGGCACACCAAAATGAGACAATGATTGGTGAAGGAAAAAAGAAAGCAGAAAAGCTAAGAAGCCATCAACGCAGGTTATACTTTTGATAAATCAGTGACACATTAACGATATATTTTTAAAAGCAACAAACTTTATTAATTTTTTTTTCTACAAAGTTCTTTCTAAATGTTGATGCTAGAGCTTTTACAGACCCTTAAATATATATATTTTTTTTTCATTTTTGTTTGGTGTTATTAATTGATCATATTGCGGAAATGTAACATTGTGAAACAAGATGGATGAATATTTCTCAAGTTCTTTGAGCAAAAACTGTACACTAAATTGTCAAACTAAGATGAAAAATAGAATATTGTCTAAATTTCTCTACTGGAATGTTAAATTTGAAAATACAAAGTTTGATACAATTGAAAGTACTTATCCCAAGATTCAAATACAGGTGTACTACATGTAAATTGTATCTACATACAATTGTTTTCTTCAATATTCATATACATGTACCTCATACATCCAGTTTCTAGAATATAGGTATTGAAAAGAAGATCAGTCTGGACTGTCTGGCTATAATGAATATACATGTGAATGTAGCACTAGTTGAAAGAACAAATTCATAATTACAGTATACTTAAATTAATGGAGCACTCTAGAATGTTTACGACTTCAACCTTCCTTATATAAATATATGTGACAAAATTGCATACATATATATGTATATATAAAATTAAATCAAAATATCCATTAAATATCATAGAAAGATTGTTACATAAAAATTTGGATCAGTTCTTTAAATATAGTCCTAAAAAATCTGAAGGGAAAAAACTGATATCAAGAAACCAAAAATAGGATTTTTATCTGTTTATATCTAACAAACCCTGCGTACAAAAGTTTTACCCTTGACAAAAACCTGATTAAAAGTTTGTAAGTTTTATATATAAATAGAAGTTGTGGAATAAACTTCAGAAACTGAACCTGCTTAAGATTATGAAAGGTAGAAACACAAAGAGGCAATTTTTGTGTCTATTAAATCAGTGGGGAAAATGACACAAAGAAAAACAAATACAAAAATCTGCTAAGCAGAAAAAAATGAAAGCCCTCTATCACCAAGTTACATGTAGGTAAACTAGCTAGAGAAAATTTATTAAAAAAAAAACTGGCAGCATAATTCTTCAATTTCCAAATCAATTCATTGATCAACAACCACTTAAACAATCAGCTGGCATCTCTTCAAAGAAAAAAAATATAGAAAAATAAACTATGTATGAGTTTACTTAATAATGTAGAAAAGTTTACATGAGAAGATCCATTTATTCAGGAATTGAGTAGGCCAGATTCATGACAAACACTTAATCTGTTGTATATAACGATGAACTCACTGCCGACCAGCTGGCTGCATAGATGGCGCCGCACATCCTTATTGTCACTTCGTTTTCAGTTATTTCAAGAGTAATCTCCCCTTTGTCAAGACACGCTCGGGTGACTTGATCAATTGAGCGTTTGTACTTATGTTAAGATGTCCCTGAATTGAAAACCCTTAACAATGTCCCTGCTTCGTCAAGAGTTGGAGGACGTGAGCTCTTGTAAGTTTGTGTTTGTTTCTCGCACATGATCCAGAATTTTTACTACATAACTTGCAATGTCTACTTCTAGTTCACTGTATCTTTTGATGAAAGGATGCTCCTAAAATACAATATCATTCAAGAAATTTATACCAATAGCTGATACAAATCCAAATACTAAGAAACATGAAAATTTGAAATAAGGAAACATTTTTGAAATATTTTAAAACATTTCTATTCTGCTATTTAACACCTTTAAAATAAACTTTAATTAGATCTGGCTTCTGATAGTTAATACTCACAAGGAGTTTGGCATATTTTGGCCTTTGTTTTTCATCTTTTGTCAAACTGGAAAAAAAAAAATCTCAAGTGCAAAGTAAAAAGTGGCACACAATTAATGCTTTAAGTAAGCCACCAAATTTGGATTTTTACAAAATATTCTTTAAGAGACAAGGTTTCTTTTCTCTTGTATAGGAACTAGATCATGAACAGAAATAAATTTAAAAATCCATGACTAACCAGGTATTTAAGAAGTTGAGGAATTCCTCTGAGAATTGTCCCTCTGTGGGTTTGAGCTGAGGAGCAGGCCCTTGTACTACCTGAGTTAGCTGGTCAAAGACACTGTTCCACTTAGGGTAGGGAAACTTCCCTGTGGCCAACTCCATCTACAAAGTATTAAAGCGTTATTGATTATGTTCAAAGGAAAAAAGTTGGATCTTTTTATTACTTTGTATTTACACACATTGGTATTTCAACTGACGATACAACAGTGCATCCCAGTTTTTTACCATTAAATAGGTATTCAGAGTAAAAACTTACAAGAGTTATGCCAAGGCTCCAAACATCTGACCGGATGTCGTAACCACGGCTAGAGGCTCGGGGATCAATTCTCTCAGGCTACAACATTGCAAAACATTTACATCTCACTCATAAACATAATTAACAGAGATAATAATAACATCCATAAATGACATACTTTACCATAAACTTGTAACTACTGTAAATCACTTTTTATTCGCAAGAACTTTATTTTCGCGTAATTACGCGAGACAATGTGTTCTCGAAAATTAAACTCTTGCGTATAAAAATATTCCTTACGATTATATAGAGGAATAACAACTATTCGTGAAAATTATGTCTCGCTTACAAAGAGTCAATGACAATCTCGCGAAAATAAGGTGTCGCGAATAATTAGTGATCTACAGTATTTCACACAGATGAAATCAAAGGCCTGAAGGGCCTGTGAGTTGACTCGCTTGAGTTAATTTAGCTTTTTCATACATCTAGAGACCATACCTTATATTCAGTTTATTTTGCATCTTAAGAGATTGAATATTATATGTTCGATTCAAAAATAAAGTGTATATTGCTTTTCCTTTATATATACAGGCTGGCACTAATGGGCTTCCGTACATATTATTGTGAAAATCAGCTCTGCAAACCTGGATTCTATAATGAATTTAAGCACACTAGCTGAAGTGGTCAGTGTTATGAAGTAATTAGTTTAAAGATTCCCACAGCAAATCTGGATTCTAAAAATAGATTTTTAACAACAACTAGCTGCAGCTAATGCAAGCAGCTGGTGTTTGTGTTAGGGAGTATTCTAAGTCAATTATAAATAAACTTCAGATGGGAAGATTAGATCTGCCTAACATGCTTGAACATATATTCATACGCAGTAATTGTACATCATACAGATATTTAATCAAAAATTTCTTTAAAAGCATGAAGATATAAATAATGTAACAGTATGAAATTTTATACAAATTTTACCTCCTAAGTTTATACAATCACTCAAACAAAAGCATTTTTTGCTAGAACTATCATATTTGGCGTATGGATCACCTTGATGAATGCGTGAAAAAATTTACAGCTCTGAAATGGCTATGTCAACAGGGAGTAGCTCGCTACGCGAGCCAACTCAAAAAAGACAGATTTGGACACTTACTCAATTGAAATTCAAATGATCTCGGAGTTTCAACTTTTAAATTTTTTAAAAATAATTCTAGGTAAAAATATACTTACTGCCATGTAGGGACGACATCCTGCATCTCGACTTTTGGCGATAGAGTCCACCAACTGGCCACTTATTCCGAAATCACAGAGTTTTATGTTCCCTTTGCGATCTAGTAGAATGTTAGATGGTTTTACATCTGAAAAGAATAATAATACAGTGTATAGGTATTTATGAATTTGTGATTTATAACACAGTCTACAAATCCTTTAAACTATGTCAACCGCTTCATACATACCTCGATGAATTATTTTTAAATTTTCTTTAAGATAATTTAAAGCTTTGACAGTCTGAAAAAAATGTAAATTTTAAATGTCATTATCAATATCATGCATATACATCACATGGATGCTTCATTGGGCTTAGGACGTACAGAACTGTTAACAATTCAAGATGATCTTTAGAACAATTGCTTTATTTTTAGTGCATGTTTATATCAAGTTAATAATCAATTTTTGACATATTTTAAAACTTAAATACTGTTAACATATTACATCACAGAAAGAGTTGGACTGTTGGCATAATAAAGTCAGTTGTAATTCACAGTTAAGCACATACTTTTTATGAAATGTATACTCACTGCTACAGTTATTTTTCCTAGGATCTCCTCTGGTATCGTCGTTTGTAACACATTAAAAATATATTTATAAAATTTATCTAAAGAAATGTCCATCATTTCTACACATATCCAGCAGTCTCCCTGAAAGTAAAACAGAAAATATAATTAAACAAAATAGTGTAAGAAAGTGATGTATATAAACCCCTTCATACATTTTACTGGAGATACACCGGTATATTAAATCATGTTCACTAGGAGTGCAAACCAAGACTAATGACAGCTTTTTGAAATATAACTGAAAGTCTAGAACTATATAATTTTGCCGACATTTTCAAAATTATGTACACACCTATAAAGTGTAAAACTTCAATCATTTATAAAATTATGTCAATAGGAAAAAAATTGAACTGAAGATAACCTCTTTAAAGAGTGCTCCATAAAACTCTACAATGTAGGGACAATCATTGCTCCTCATGACAACATCCAGATCCATTAGTAACTCCTTCTGTTCCTTCTCATCCACTGTGGATCTAATCCTCTGTCAAATATAGATTTTATTTCTAATATTAATTGTGAAATGAAGTTTTATGTTTAGATTTAACATACATGTTATAATGTATAATTCATGTATAAATTGCATTTACCCGGTAAAAACAAAAAACAAAACAAGAGATGTTCATGAACCACTTATGCGTTCCCCATCCTCTTGGAAATACATTATGGAGTGCATAAGGAAGGCAAATTGGAATTTTTCTTCGTCTAAGGGGCATAACTCTGTCAAAAAGTGCTTGATTGTACCCGAAACAGAGCTAATTGAACATGAGAGAAAAAGTGAGCAAGCTCACATACCCCATGCTCCCCCAAAACTCAAAAGTGCCAAATCCCCCCAAAAAAAAAGGAATCAAAATTCCCTGATAATATGCACATCTACACATTGTGTCCTAAATATCTAAAAAAATTTCGACCAAATTCTGTGCAGCGGTTCATGAGGAATTGCACTGCCAAACTGTTCATCTCTATATTGAAGTTATGGCCAAAAATCTAAGTTGAAAAGTGCGGAAATTCCTGAAAAAAAGAAAGGAATCAGAATTTCCTGGTAACATGCAAATCTATACATTGTGTCTTAAATATGTGCAAAGTTTGACCAAATTCTGTGCTGCGGTTCATGAGGAGTTGCGCTGACAAACTGTTCATCTCTATATTCAAGGTATGGCCAAAAATCTAAGTTGAAAAGTGCCGAAATTCCCACAAAAAAGTAAAGGAATCAGAATTTTTTGGTAATATGCACATCTACACATTGTGTCCTAAATATGTGAAAAGTTTTACCAAATTCTGTGCAGCGGATTATGAAGAGTTGTGCTGACAAAAAATTAGGACTGATGGACTAACACACTGACTGACGGATAGGTCAAAAACATTATACCTCCCGCAACTTGTTGCCTGGGGTATAATAATATTCTGATGTTTAATCTGAATATCAATTTCATTTCAATATCAATTCCTGTGAAGAAAAGGAACGGAAACTGTTGGTGGACAGACAGACATCAACGAAGAAATATGCACTTCTTTTTTCGAGGAGGGAAGCATAATAATGTATAGCATTTTTAATGTTTCTATTCTTTTAATACACAAAAGATTACCTTAACAGCCATTACAGTGCCACTGTCTTTATGAATCATTTTGGTGACCATTCCATAATTCCCTCTCCCTATCTCCTCTATTTCCTGCAGGTCATCGGAAACAAAGTCGTATGTCTGTAATAAGATTTGACAGTGAAATAAATATACATCTCCCAAAATATAGGGTAAATACACAATAAATTAATTGCTATTACAAATTTCTTACTTTTGACCCTATTTGTAATTTTCCTGTGGACTTCAATCCCTTTATTCTTTCTCTGTAAAGAAAATAAATCTATCATCATGAAAATGTTTATTTTTCTTACAGATATAAAATACATGTACATATGAAAGACTTAAAACAGTATGTACTTCTGACTTGATTCTCTGATGACAACAGAATGAAGCTTTGTATATATTTAACCTTTTTATTAACATTGAGACCTTATTAATTAATTTTAATGTAATTAGATTTAACCATTTTATCTCCATTAAGACCTTACATCTGTGTTTTGTATCCCATGGTTTGCAGGGTTTGAGTTTGGGGTGTGAAATTTATGGTAAGCCTTCTTCTCAGATCTGCTGCAAAAGACAAATCTTTTAATTAACCAGGACTCAATTAACTAGAACACTTTAGAATGTACTTTACTACTATTTTCAATTTGTACTGTTGTTTTCCTATAAGAGTCTTTACATAGACACTTGATGAAAAGTTATTTGTTTGAAGAAAATCAAAACTATTTTTAAGTACAATATATTTCACTTGTAAAATGTCAACAAACATTAAACTTTCTCTATATAGGTTAATCAACAATATAAACAAAGAAGCTGACAATAATTAAAATGCAACAAAAATATTAAGAAAACACATTTCTACTTATTCATAAACATGCTTAAAATTTTAACTCGGTATACCAATTTGCAAAAAAATAAATAAAAAACAAAGATATAAGTAAAGAGCTGCTAATATCTAACATCGTATGAGTAGGTAGGATATAAATATTTCTACCTGCAATCCCTGATACCACAGAATGTTAGTAATTTATATATGTGGATGTTCTACATTGAAACCTAACATGTTTTGAATGAAACTGATTTTAAAAAATAATAATCATCATAAAATTAGAATTCAAGTGTTATCTTGAATTATACAATGAAGGTTGGTAGAAAATTATACAATATAACTATCACTAAATCTTTATCAATTATTCTTTTCAATTGCATATTCACTTAATAGTATGATCGGTGAAACTGAACAGGATATATTAAGACAAAAATATACTTCGTGCAGACATAAATGATAAGTTCATCTAGAAAAAAAATTTCTGGTGCTGTCATTTGTTACACTCTTTTGAAAAGAATTAGTAACTGTCCAATAAAAAATTAGAGATTTGTTAGTCTTGTGTGATAGTCTGGGGTTTTGGGGGGGTTCAGTGCACACAACTAGCGTCCCTAATTTTACCCATATTTTCGGTGTCAAGTCTGCGACTAGGAAGAGACGGTTTTTGTATATTTCTATTTCGTGGAACCGGGGGAGGTGGAACAGGGGGTGGCAAGTCTACAAAAATAAAACAACACTCAGCAAAACTTAAACAGAGTGCAGAGCCATCGACCCTCCATCAAATGAAGCCAAGCAAGTCTCAAATAATCATAGATCTAAAGCAAATCAACACAATACTGTAATAATGGATGTTATAAATAAAGATATATTATGTGATTATCATTGTCTTTGGTTACTTTCTACAACTGATATATACTAATGAATTTATGAGTTGGATATAATTAAAAGCGGTCTATATTTCATGCATTATGTAGTATTGCAGATGATGTTTGTTCTTATAAGTATACCAGTTTTTTTTTTTCTAAGTACATCGAAGAAAATTGTAAAGTTTTTCCTGTAGTCTATAGGCTTTTAAGAGTATTTCCAATTTTAAAAAAATGAGATCAAGTGATCAACTGACATAATAATATGGATGAATTGAGAAAGTACTATGAACTGATATTGATAACATATATATAAAATTTATTGTCAGTGCATTACGCATTGTGTCAAATATGTATAATCATGTACCGGTATATGTAAATAATGCAGCATAGTATTTGGATACAACTTTTGTAAGGTTGAATTCATGTTCTTAAATTAAAAAAAAGTGTAGTTCGTTGTCAACTGAAATATTTTATATGTTAACCCAGTAATGCCTCTTATTCATAAGACCAGAATCTGTGTACGGTCTAGCACATCTTTTTTCATTGGAAGAACTTGACACATGTTTTTTCACATGTCACCCATTCTGTCAAGGTGAAAGTGATAAGATGTAAGGAATGGGGTTTTCATTGAAAGCACCTTATCTTCTCATTCCCCCATCAGGAAATAAAGTGACCAAGAGAGAAAATATTATTTCCCATTTCACATATATCTTTACAAATACAGGCTTATTTGAATAGGTTGACGAACAATGTTATTAAGTCAATGAACAGTTGCATGAGTCACCAATCTTAAAATAGAGCTCTACTCTCGCGGAATTTCCTCTGCATTTACGTACGCTACCTTGGTTTTGACTTGGATCAGGGGCCGCCATCTTGGTAAGACTGGCGTATTTTAGTTGGGCCTCTCTTGTTTAGTTGTGCCCTCTTTTGACTTGGTTGAAATCGTTTACAAATCCTGACAATTCAGTCCAACAAGAGGCAGAAGTCCCCGGTCTAATGGAAGCGTGAATACGGTCTGATGTTCATTTCTTCTTGATGACTCATCATATAAAATCTGGCTGGGAAAATCCCTGTGACGTCACGAAATCTCGTGACCGCGCGATCTCAGCCGAAGGTCTCGCACCTGCTCACTTCGGCAATTTCCGGATTAAGTCGAAGTTATTTCCCTTAGGTCTTCACTAGTTTTGCCTTCCTACCCCCCCCCCCCCCCAAAAAAAACTGCTATGTTGAAAGAATTTAATAATTTTTACAGATTCTAGAAAAAATGTATAGAGAAAACATTGACAAAATTTTTAGAGTCGTCCACAATATTTAATAAATTTCTTGATTTCTATTTTGTTCGTCTACATTGTATTTTCACTTCTGAATTCGTCAGAACATGAGACGTGCCTTAATTATTTAAACTCCATCTTTTACCTAAATGAGACCAATTATTAAAAATTGCCTCAATGATCTTGATAATTAAGACGATTTGTGAAAATTTTTCACTATATATTCCTATGTAAAACTTTGATCGTCCTCCCTACCCACGAGGTTCATGATTTGAACGAACACGAATCTAAACACCTGATGATGCTTTCACATACATGTTATGTGAACAATCATAGTTTTGCTGTTCTTAAAGGTACTTGGACACAGATTTGAAGTTAATATTTTCGTATAATATCACGAATTATGTAGTTTAATAGCATTTCACACAAAAATTAATTAAAAATCTTATTTCATTCGAAAGTTATTAAAACTTTAAATTTTTGGCGGGTTTGATTGACACATCCTTGCACTTTCACAAATTTTAACTTTATTCTTAATCCTTAGGGAAAGCATCGTCGGAAACCCACGGGTGATCTCGTCTTTACTTGTCACCCACGGGTGATAAGTAAAGACAGATCACCCGTGGGTTTCCGACGATGTAGGGAAAGTGGCAATCTTGTTGTGTATTAATGTGAAATATTACAACTTAAATCCAGAAAAATAATTTTATTCAGAGTAGAAAAGTTAGAAAGCAAAACTCCTTCACAAGTATCGTCATTCCGTTGTGTACAGAGGGTAGCAAATCGAGCACACTCGTGTTATGTACACAGTTTTTGTAAACAGGGCACGGGCTCTGTTATTGTTGATGTTTACGATTCACCAGGTGCGTCCAATAGCCAAACTCTGCTCACCACAACTGCACGGACTGGCAACTTATTGTGTGTTTCTTTTGCTTTCTAACATGTCTACTCTGAGTTTTCTGGATTATAGTATTAATATTTTTCATTTCATAACAAGATTGCCACTTTCCCTAAGGATTAAGAATAAAGTTAAATTTGTGAAAGTGCAAGGAAGTGTCAATCAAACCCGCAAAAAAATTAGAATTTTAATAACTTTTAAATGAAATAAGATTTTTAATTAATTTTTGTGTGAAATGCTATTAAAATATATAAGTCGTAATACCGGTATTATAGAGAAAATATTAATTTCATATCTGTGTCCAAGTACCTTTAAGAAAAAGTTTTTTGAAGATTTTTCATATACATGTACATTCCTCTGTTAAACTTTGATCGTCCATTGTGGCCCACCCTAACCATGCGGCCATTATTTGAACAAATTTGAATTTCCACTAACTTACACTGATTCCACATGAGTTTCATTTTCCTGGCCTGTTGGTTTTTGAGAAGAAGATTTTTCAATGATGCCAATTATTTTTCGCTATTTTGTTATTATCTCCCCTTTGAGGAGGGTGTATGCAGCCCTTCATTTGATCAAACCTGAATCCTGTTCACCCAAGGATATGCTCTATGTCAAGTTTGGTTGAAATTGGCCCAGTAGTTCTGAAGAACAAGATGAGAATGCGAAAAGTGTATAACGACATACAACGGACAATTTTCGATCAGAAAAGCTCACTTGAGCCTTTGACTCGGGTATACTAAAAAGGACTTATTCACCATTTTGGAATATACTTAATGGTTTTTTATGCCCCCGTAATCGCAGATTCGGGGGCACGAGTACTAGTTTATATATAAACTAGTTTTTGCCCTTTCCTTCCGTCCGTCTGTTTGTCGCAAAAAAAATATCCTTGTCATAACGTTTGACTGGTTGAGGCTATGGGTTTCATATTTCACATATGTATTATTTTTCACAAGACCTTTATTTGGGTACCATCAAATTTGACATTTTGACATTGACATTCGAGTCTGACACAGTTATGCCAAATTTTATCCAACTTTAACTTTGGCCATAACTTTTGAACAAATATTGCAATGACTTTCATACTTCGCATTTATCATCTTTATGACAAGATCTTCAATTACATACCAACAACTTTTACCCTTTGACCTTGACCTAGTAGCTTGACCTACTGTAACAACTTTGACCTTGGCCCTTGGACGGTTAGGGATAAGGCTTTCGTACTTCACATATGTAATCCTCGGCTTGTGACAAGATCTTGCTGCCATATATATTTCACATGTGTATTTTTTGTGAGAAGACCTTCCTTTGGGTACCAACGTATTTGATTTGCATTTGAGAAAGTTTAATCTTTGCTATATGTTGACATACGGGGGCATAACTATTTCACAACTTCAGACATGTTGTTTTCTTTATACATTGAACATTTTTATGCCCCCGTAATATAAGATTCGAGATACATAGTTTTTGTCTGGTCCGTCCGTCTGTCTGTATGTTCGTCTGCAGAACCGCTAACCTTGTCATAACCCTTAAGCAGGTGGGGCTATGGCTTTCATATTTCTCACGTGTACTGCCTGCATGTGACAAGACTTTTCTTCCAGTGCCACCAAGTTGACTTTTGAACAGTCTATCACAAGTGTATTCCTTGTGACAATACCTTTATTTGATTCTAACAATTTTGGCCTTTTGACCTTGGAGTTTGACCTACCTTAAAAAAAATTAACCTGGGCCATACCATTTGAACAGTTGATGTAGGGCTTTAAATGATCCATTGACCTTGGCGTTCGACCCACATTTTCAGATGTTTATTTTTGACTATAACTTTTGAATGGTTGGTGCTTGGGCGTTTATATTTCACAGGTACATTCATTGAGACAAGTCTTTTCTTTTGGTAAAATTTTTCATCTCTTGACTTTGAAATTTGACATGCATTTGTTAAAATTTAACCTTCGCCAAAAGCTGCCATAAGGGAGGGGGGCATCAGTGTTTTACAAACACGTCTTGTTTATTGTGGTGAACAATTGGCTAACTAGTTGAACATCTTTGTGGTTATTTGTTTTCCCCCGCTTTCGCGTTTTCGTGGACATTAAATCTCATTCGTCTGTCCATCTGTCAGTCTGTAGTTCTGTCCGTCCATCACAAAAACTTTTACCTTGGTCATATATCTTTTGAATGAGAAGAGATAGGGCTTTCGTATAATCTGTAACAAGACCTTTCTAGATACACTATGATTTTTGACCCGTGACCCTGACGTTTGACCTTCTTTAAAAAAAATTAAAGATTACATTGTGAATTGGCATAACTTCTGATCGAAAAGAGGTATGGTTTTCATATTATTGCCTGACGTCACGGCGTCAGGCTGTATAAGGATTGATATTTCCGAGGTGCGAAGAGAAGAGGTCACAGTCAGCCAGCAAAATTTTTTGCATGCTGATTATCACTGGAATTTGTTACCTCCGTTTCAACAAAACATTTAGCAGAAAAAAATAACTGTCTTACTGATAAAATATATTGATGTGTTTATTCCCTTTAGTTTTTTGCATGCAGCTGTTTATTTCATGCGATTTCATATACGGACATGTCCGTTTGACCTTTTTTCTGCGTTTCTGTACTATTGGATGAGTCCATTTGTCTTCTAGGTAAGGGGTGTCACAATCATTTTGCGCCAAATGTCATGTGTATATTTTCGCGCCCTTTTCTTGGATGATTCTATTGCACTGAATGGAAATGAAAACTTCAAGTCTGTTCTTTTTATCGGAATTTTGAACTTTGGGGAAAAAACAATCGGTGATATTGTGAAAGAGGTTAGAAGTTACTTCATTTAAAGTAAATATATAAAACGAAACGGAAAAAGATTTCTTAAGAGGAAACTGGCAAATTATACATAATACTTCGCCCAAATTCGCACCCCCCCCCCCCCAGTTTTCAGAGATAAAATTCTTTCTCCTAATGCTATGATTGAGGAATATAAGGAATCACCGTCAAGTTCGTTGGTTCATTTATGCAAAGCGGGCTGTTTCCAACAATCATTGATGCTCTGGCATACCCAACAATCTAGTACTTAAACGTATTCTGCATGTTAATCATGACGATTCATTTATTTCTTGTAGTTATCATATTCTCAGCTGTCTTCCTGGTAGTCTATGCAGTTGAATCTAATTTTAAATTTTGATTTTAAAATTAATACTGTATACAGGGTTATTTTCGCCCCGTGTTATTTTCGCCCTTTTGCACTTGCAAACAATTTTGCCCCGTTTTAAATTCGACCTGTCATAGTTCTGTTTAATAAATTCTACTGTGTAATTTGAATTCGCCCCGTTTTAAATTCGCCCAATCAAGAAGAGGGCGAAAGGGGCGAAAATAAAACGGGGCGAAAATTTCCCTGTGTACAGAAAAAATTCATTAGTTCATTTCCCTTATTTAATTACTACATCTCCTAAAAACATTTATAGAGTTGCGGAACGAGGAGCTGAGCTTTACGTCACGTGTTCGAATCCACTGCAGGACATGGAGATCGGTCCTTAGGATGAGACCGTTTAAATCCAAGTCCCGAGTCGCAGTAGGTGTTAGCACGAAAATGAAACTGCTCATTGGTCCTGAGTTCCAAGTATTTGTAACACTCCACAGGCGTCCTTATACAACAAACGGAAAACCAATTTTTAACACACACAGAATATACCTTTTAAATAAAATCTCACTGTTCCTTTTCCACCAGACACGTAGCAACAGGGGGGGGGGGGGGGATCTGTTTACCCCCCCCCCCCCCCCCTTTTTCCTAGCTTTACTTTTACTATATATAGGAAATTGTAATTGAAAGGTTGGATCCCCCCTGTATATAACAGGGAATTTATTAAAGGGAAATGCAGTATTTAATGCTAAAAAAATTGCTACAGAAAGAACTTGACACTGAAAAAAAGTT